TCTTAATCACAAACAAAACGTTTGTAAACTTGTTAAATCCTTATATAAATTAAAACAAGCTCCTAAACAATTGTACCAAAACAATGTTGTTAAACGAATTTAAGATAAGCGAGTGTGATAGGAGTGTATACATAAAATATACAATTGTTCTGCAACGGTGATAACGGTGCACGGAACTTGGCTCCCAAGATACAACAAATTCAACTTGTGGTAGAAGCACTTTAAACCACAAGTTTCAGCGAACTTTGAATAGAATTTTCCCTCTCTACAACGAACTATGGCTTTGAATGATTATAAAGATGTTTTGCAAGAGTTTTGAAGCAATGCTCAATGAACAAGTGATATGGGACGCATAATGGACTTTCAAAGGATTTTACTTATAGAGGATGAGAGATTGTGGGTGAAGTGTTGCGTACCAAATCTTGTAACTTTACGAACGAAAGCATTACTTACTGTCGCTAACCTGATGCTGACTTCTCACTCAAGCACCAATGTCAAAATTTTAACAAAACCTTTTTCACCCGCCTGTAACTCAGCATCTTCCTGTGAAACTAAAATTTTTGATTAGGCAAATGTCCCCTTACCTCAATTTGAACACATTCATAATGATCATAAAGATAAAAGATTCGTGCAATGCAACTTCCAGGTTCAGAAAATACAAACTACCCACTGAAAATATGCTGGTATTGGATAATAGTGTACAATATAGTGAACAAAATTTTAATCGCTTAGTGCCAATATTGCTTAATATAGCATATCCAACATGCCATAGAGTTTCGTGGAGTAAATGAAAGACCGATTAACTCTGATATAATTTGATCAGCTGAGATATACTAAAATCAGCACAAATATATACTAATATACAAGCCATCATGATGTACAGTGTTGTCCAGTGCTAACTGATATCTCGTCCATTGTTAGGAATAGCCAATGCGCAAGGTACTACCAAAGCTTCATGCAAAAGATTTATCTTCCTTCGTTGAGTTTTGAGAGTAGAAACAGGCAGCCCGAGGAAAGTAACACCGACGCAGAGAAACAAAGCAGATCTAGAGGGGACTGTATAACTGCTTTCTTGCTCTTTTCAAACAAACCAATAAGAAGCAGCATCACTATAACGTGGCCAAGTTTAGTTTTCAGCTCGTTGACAGTTTTTATTTCCAACCACCTTGGTCGTTCCTGATTCAGAGAAGATATGATATTCGGTAAGAATGGCTGATAAAGATGCATGACAAGTAAAAGTTTAAAAAGAACTGTTAAACAAGAAAATCAACAGCATTTACGCTAGTGAGATTGGACAAGGTAATTGAATTTCGCTTCTTTCCTGTGCATATTGACAAACAAGATTTATATTATGATGGAAACATTTATCTTATCTTGGTCTGCTGCTTGGTTTATTTAGTTTATTTGCATAATACTAATTTTTCAGGTTACATTTACAAATGGAAAACAAAATTGTCAGATGAGACAATGTCCATGAATATTATACTACGATAACGTCAAATATAAACCTAAAGATAAGTTCATCCTTAGAAAGTGATGTTCGGTATTGTTCATCCCATACACTATCCACAACTCTTATTTGTTATTGGATGATTAACCAATTCCTTAAAATGAAAAGGAAGTTTTGAAGACCTTGCACGTAATAAAAAGTCTAAAAGAAGGAAACATGTTACAGAAATTTAGAAAAGTTTCAAACAAACCTTTAGAGTGAATAATCCAAACAAATTTGATCTCTGTGTTTCTGGTCCCTCTGAAATCAATTTCGCTTTATCAAGATTGCTAATGAAGAGCTCATAAAGACCCATGCCAAAAACCAGCATCACAGTCCCCAGTAGGTAGACATCTAGGTGATTCAAAATAATAAGCAGATAATTATCTCTCATTGATATTAAGAAATTCAAGAAAATATACTCTCAACTTAATGCTCAGTTAGCTAATGCACAAATCACGCCGCCAGATAGGCTACAAATATTGTAATCAAGAAATTTGCAATGCCTTTGTGTGTCGGCATAAATTTATATCAGAGACAATTGACTTAAGTTTTTAACCCATTATTTATTCCTTTTGAAAATGGTGAGTATGATTCTAATGTCAAAACAGGAATCAGATTTGGAGGCCATTAATATTAAATCCTCAATCCCTCGGGAGTTTCTTGATTAAAATGTTAATTGGACCTCTGACGGATGAACTTAAAAGTGATCAGAACCTTTCTTTTGAAGTAATACTAAACTCAATTTCTTTTTCTCTTTTCCATGTCCACCAAAAGATTTGCAGATTCCAAATCAAGCTATGTGGATCTGAAAGTATTTCTCAAAAGACCATGCACATTAAGACCATGCGGTTAAACCTTTCAACTACCATTATAAGTACAAATTTGACACACAAAGAAAATACAATTGAAATTATTTAGTAGTTCCTAGTTGGGATAAAGATTGTAACACTGGCAACAAGATGGATAATAATAATAGCAACGAGCTTAAAGATATATGGAAATTTAGCTACTGGTCAAATTTATGTTGCTTTGGTAGAAGTACAAAGAGTTGGGAATATGTCAATAAACTTTATGTTACGTTACTAGTAGTGACTGTTTGATCCTGACTCCCAATCTTTAATCATCATACTCTTACATTATTCTCTTCAAGTGTGACTGAAATTCACTTCTTAGTTTACTTCAGTGAAATATGATACTGCCAATCAATGTCATTATAGATATATTTTAATTCTAGAAAGTCGATAATTACATAATTCATACTTTCTTAACTTCTGGAGATGTCTAATTGTTATGAAAATTTGAAATGAATCCAATAGTCTACCATGTCTTCAATAGATGTAACTTAAAGCCAAAAGGAATGACAGTTTTAAAGGGCTACCATTTGTGTGCTAGAAAAATGTGCATATTTTCATGAATCGAGAAGAACTATAAATGACAAGAGATAATAATATACATACCAACAGCCTGGACAAGTGAAAAAATAACCTTCCCTCGGTCCACAAAATAATCTTGGAATGATGATGTAACATGCGTGCAACCCTGTACATGACAGAAAAACTTTGTCAACCATTTTGTAAAATGTCTTGAACAGTTCACATGAACAAAAACCCTTGTGTAATAGTGCAAGCAAAAAAATATATATTAGAATTATTATTCAATATTGTGTTCGATTAAGTCGTTCAACTCCAAGGTCTGAGGCTGTTAGAAAGCAGAACTCTTGATTCATTCAATTCTCCCAATTGCACACATATGCATAACATTGGTGATGATAACAATATTCTTGAATTAATTAAAGCGTCCAACTATTTCTTAAATTGGAATTTGCAACAGATCCAAAGGAATTGATAAAACATTCCTAGAAACAGAATTCTGCTATCATTAAGGTACAGGGTTTTGCATAGAATATAAAATCAAAAATGATTGCAATTCTACCACCCAATCAAAAATCCTCCAATTCTCAAAGGAGTATAATCTTGGTAATCTTCTCTATCTAATGAATAGGGAGTTTGCTTAAAAATTGTGGCTGTATTTTTGACATTCCAACATGTTTTGTATAGGAGAAAGTTAACTTGTTCCCTAATTTATAACCGAAACTAGCTATGTAAACTCAGAAAGACTACTTCGACTTATGCGTAATGGCTATCAAAACTATCTAGACACTTTTCGACCAAAATTTCTAAGAAATCATATCTTGCACTTCTTGAACCATCAGTAACGTTAACTTCAAGGCCTTAATAACAAAAATACATGAATCAAAGAATCCAGTACATGCATAGAAAAATTATCTGATCCAGGAAATGCCTAGAGATTTTTTTTAATGACCAAAAGCATATTATCCAACTCAAATGTAATCAGACGAATAAGAAACACAAGAAGAAAAAACCATAGACACAAGATTTACATGGAAAAAACTCTTCCGGTTTAGAGGGCAAAACAATGGGACAAATTTGAGAAATCTAACATCACCCAAACAGAGTTTAAAATTTTCTCCCAAGATTTTTCCATGAATCATTCTGAATTTTATAAAATAGAGAAGTTTAATGTGGCCTCTTACAAGCTTTCAATCCCAATACAAAAAAGTCTGAAAAGAAATTACTTCTAAGAAGAAACCTTGGAAAAATTGCGCCAAAAATTAAAAAGAGATAAAAGAGGAAGAGGGAAGAAAGAAAGATTTTGAAAAGGGAAATTTCAATGTCTAAATAATTGAAAAATCCTACACCATTTATACATAAAAATTCCTATTAAGAACAGAGAGCTACCAAACTAATCAAAAGTTTAGCCTAATATTATGATAGGAAAATAAATCAGATACCAGTAATTCTATGAAAATAAATGTTATGCTTTTTCTTATTATTAATCCTAATGGAAGTGTGGCATATTTTTGTTGCATCTTTAATCACACGCCTTCATCATTTCTCCTCTATTGAAGAGAACTCAATTAGAGGAGCTAGACAGCAACGATTTCGAACGGGAATCATCTTTCCTTTAAACCTAGTACGAATAAAAACACTGTCATAGATCCCAAATCTGGTAGACAAAAATTCAGTAGCAAGCTTATTCACAATACCTTGTCCACAGCACTACATCTGAATAAAAAGTTATATCCTTTTGATGTTTAACCACCATTGTTATTTGCATTTGGAATTTTGATGGTTCATTCACTAAAAATTACTCGACTGCCTCTTGTTCTATATCAATATTGTCTATATGTACAAGATAGTACTACAAATGGCGAAGTGGCCAAACAGAAGCACATGAATCATCACGACGAGGCATAGGCCACATAGATGGAGAGATTAATTTTCATTGTTCTTTCAAGGGCATTCTCAGTGTTATTAGCTTCTCAGTTGCTTTATGGTGTCTAATACCCAGATTTATGCTTGCTTATTACAGCAACTAGGAGTACATAGGCAAATTGATAGTAAGAATTAAAAAGTATCATTGAGGAAAAATTATACTCTCTTCATCTCATAAAAATATACTTGCTTTCCTTTTTCTTCGGTCCCAAATTAGAATTAAACTACTCATACAGGGTTGGATGTATGCCACCTCAACATCAGTCAAAAAAAAAAAAAAA